TTGGCTATATTTGAGACTTTTCAGTACATGGCTTTTTGAGCAACTTTAAAAATTCATAAAAAATCCAAATTCAATTGGAATCAGCTAAAACTTTATACACAACATAAGGACAAGTATACATATCAAAAAATATTATAAAATTGAGAATTCTCTTTTTTCAATTTTGGAGAAATTTGGCCAACACCCCTGTATAGGGACTTTGACCCGATTTTTGAGTAACTTAAAGAAATTCGCATAAAATCCAAATTTGATCGGAATCAGCTCAAACTTTCTACACAACATAAGAACTTTTATATGTATCATAAAATGTTATAAAAATTGAGAATTCTCTACTTGACATTTTTGGCAAAATTTGGCTGACGCCCCTGTACTATAGCACAAGGACTTTGCCCCGATTTTCGAGCAAATTAAAAAATTCGTAAAAAATTCAAATTTGATCAAAATCAGCTTGAACTTTTTACACAACATAAAAACATGCATATGTATCAGAAAATGTTATAAAAATTAAGAATTCTCTACTTGACATTTTTGGCAAAATTTGGTTGTTGCTATAGAAAAGCAATCAATAACAAGAAGTAGCACCAGAGAATCAGTAAGTACATGTACATGTACATGTAAATGTGTATGTAATGCATTAAGTATAATGTGCATTTGTGTGTAATGTCTGCTCACTTCAATTAGTCTAACTCCTCCATCAGTCATAGGAAGAGGACAAGAGTAGAGACCAGATGAAGGAGAGAACAAGAATAACTGCCTCAACTGGTGGAGTCACCTACAAATTAACATTAATAACAGTGCCTCAGTACTTCAATCATAATACCGTACGGCTGGTAATTGTAGAGGGGTGCTAAGTTTTTAGTGATTGGTGGGTTTTAATTTGAGCATACCGCCATACACATAATGGTCCAAAATGGCTGGCTTTATTTGGCCAATAGCTTTTACAACCTGAACTTGAAAAAGAATACTAGCTATTTAGTATGCATTATCAACCTCCATTCTGAGTGCTTTCTATCATACCCAAATAACCGGGCCCAATGGCAACACTGAAGACCGGCTTCTATTGGGTCCCCTTGCTGACAACCCTTCAACAATGGTACATCCTCCTTACACATTCATGTATATATTCCTTGGGACGATAAAATCATTAAATTAAATTAGAGTTACCTCGTTTGGTAGTTTACAGGAGAGCCTGGTAGTGCCGTCACTAGCGGTGTCTGAGCCGGGTAGGAGTCCTCCATAAAAGGATTGTAGAGGTTTGGTTGAGCCTGGCTAAAGCTTCCATGTCTGGCTGGATAAAACGTATCACTCTTGGAGCTACTATTCCTTACGACAGCAGGAAGAAAGGAGCAGAAAAGAGAAGGAAAAAACCTAGTCTCGTCCTAGTCTCGCGGTGCCAGACTCCACCCCTTTCTGACATTTGGACGGCGGGGTAGGAGTCTGGTTCCATTCCATTCCTCAACTCGTGCAGCCGCCAGAGAATTCTGTGGTCTTAATTATATTCATAGTGATTACGTTGGTGTTTTTAATCATATTCATTGTACAATTAATATTATTCATAGTGATTACTTTTAATAAAATTCATTGAGAGGCTTTCAAAACAATGGCTACTGCTGCAGCTCCTGAGGCTTTATACATTGACGATCACATTACTGCCTGTATGGAGGAAGTGTGTCTCTCTTTGGGCTACTCTGAGCTCAGGAGTCAACAGAAAGATGCCATAAAGGCATTTGTTGCAGCGCGTGATGTATTCGTATCCTTGCCTACTGGGTTTGGTACTGAAGAGTCTCATCTATGGGTGCCTGCCATTACTCTTTGACAAGCTGAGATGCAAACCGATACCATCATCAATTGTTATTGTGATTTGTCCTCTCGTTGCTCTGATGAAGGATCAAGTGGAAAAGTTTCAATCCCTTGGCATCAGATCTGCATATCGTGTTGGAGATCAGTCTCTCGACTCAGCTGCTTTTTTAACTGGTGACATAAAGTTAATTTTTATTAGTCCAGAGTCTTTAAATAGAGGCTCATTATGGAGAGATGTAATTTGTAGTGATGTTTACCAGCAGAATGTAGTTGCTTTTGTCATTGATGAGGCACATTTGGTGAAGAATTGGTCAGTACTTTAAAACTGAATATCATGTGTTTATTGTAATTTTAATGATTATAGGGGCATTAAATTTCGTCCAGATTTTAGTCGTTTAAGTGAGATACGAAGCCTTCTTCCTCAAAAAATCAATGTCCTAGCCCTCACTGCCACTGCAACGTTGACTTTGCAAAAAGAAATAATGTCATCTCTTGGGATGGTTGACCCAGTTGTAATAGAAGTCTCACCAGAGAAACACAATTTGCACTTCAGCATTAAAGAGAATGCTACTGATGCTATTATGGCTGTAATATTAGAGCTAAAGCACAAGAGAGTTGAAATGGAAAGAATGATAATATTTTGCCGAAGACCGTTGGATTGTGCTAATCTTTGGATGCAGTTTCAAGCATCATTAGGTGGAGATATGACTGAACCCCCTGGCAGCTCAATGAGGAATCCAGAATTAAGATTAGTTGATTATTTTACTGGATGTACAGAGGAAGCTGTTCGCAATACCATTCCGAAGCAGTTTTCGAGAGAATCTTGCTTAAGGATTGTCATTGCTACAGTAGCATTTGGGTTAGGCATTGATTGTCCTGATGTGAGAAAAGTTCTTCATTTTGGAGTCCCTGAAGATGTCGAGACCTATGTACAGCAAGTTGGGAGGGCAGGAAGAGATGGAAGAATGTCATATTACACTTTGCTATTTGGTAAAGGTGTTTACAGGCAGCACAGTGACAAAAAGATTCTTGACTATTGCA